TTGTGTTTCACTGTGAACACCCACTTGCACCCCACTGGTTCCTTCCCTTCAGGAAGGTCTACCAACTCCCAAGTACCATTTTTGTGTAAGGCATCAATTTCTTCTTGCATTGCATATGTCCATTCAGGTTTTGACAACGCTTCTGCCACAGTCTTAGGAACGGGGACACTATCCACAGAAGAGAGAAAGGCACGGTACGAAGGCGAAACATGCTCATAGGACACAAAATTAGAGATAGGATGATTAGTGGTACAAGATCTAACACCCTTTCTCTTAGCAATAGGAATATTAAGATCATTGGTGACAAGGGAATCAGCATTTAAAGCAGTAGATATACTTGGCTGATGAGACGGATCTGCCTCGGGTGAATTCGATGATGTTGGCCGCATAGTGTCCGGCTCCACGACTCTTGAACTCTGTTGGTTCTTATGGCGACGATGAAAAACCCGGAATGGAGGAGGATTTAGTAAAGGAGGTAGTTGAATTTGAGTCATCACCTGTTTCTCCTCAACCCTACTCTCCCCCTGAGAAACCGAGAAAAACGGTTGACTCTCAAAGAATGACATCAATGGGAACATAGTACTTGCGGGCAATGGGATCATAGCAAAGATATCCCTTTTGAGATAAAGGGTAACCAAGAAAAACACAAGGAATAGCCCGAGGATCAAGCTTGCCACGAGTAGGGGACAGGTTATGGACAAAACAACAACACCCAAAAACACGCATCGGAATGGTGGACAGCGGGGCTGTAGGGAACAAGAGCTGATGTGGGGCCTTATACTCTAGTAGCCGAGAGGGCATGCGATTGATGATATATGTCGCACACAAGACTGCATCCATCAAGAACTGTTTTGGCACATTCATATGAATTAGCAAGCCACGAGCAACTTCGAGAAGGTGACGGTTTTTCCGTTCAGCCACACCATTTTGTTGTGGTGTCCTGGCACAAGAGCTTCACTGAAGTGACCCACTCGAAGCAAAGAACTTCGTGAAACTATGGAAATATTCCTTTGCATTGTCCGACTCTCACTTGACGAACTCGTGGACTCTGTCGCCACTAGACCAGCATTATTCTCCAACACATAGAGACCATCCACCATGCTTCCTAAAACATACATGAAGGCGGAAAAAAAGTGATTGAGCAATTCAAAGAGTGAGTAAGACTACTAATGGACAACAAATTAATAGGTGATTTCGGAACGTGCAGTACATTAGAAAGAGTAAGGCCAAGTGGGAGAGGTATGGTGCCTCGGCCAGCTATGGTAGAAAAAGAACCATCAGCCAGTCTTACCTTATCTCTCCCAGAGAGAAGGTTATATGTCTGAAACAAATTAGACTTACCAGTCATGTGATTTGAAGCTCCGGAGTCAATAATCCAAGGAGAATCGGTAGTATGAGATGACACATGGAAGGCTGTGGCATTACCTAATGTAGACGCAAACGAGGTAGGAGTAGGCCCAAAATCCATCTGGCGGAGAGTCCTACCATACAATTCCAAATGTTCACGGAAGGAGTTGATAATATCTTCCTTAGGGTCAAAACTGGGATGTCTCTCCTGAGTTATTGAAGGACTAGTCTCTATCGATGCCACATTAGCTGAGCTATACCTTTTTTGATTCTGTTGGCCTGGTTTCTTGCCCTGATCAGGTGCTGACTTCTTACCCAAATCTTGTGCCCATTTAGGTTTTCCATGGAGATCCCAACATGTATCTTTCGTGTGTCGTCTTCTGGCAGTGAGTGCACCAAAGCTTGCTCTTATCATCTGATTTTTTCTGAGTGTCACCCTTTTTAAAGCCACCTCCGACATTTGTAGCTGAATTTCCCCGGACAGCTAGGGCAACTGACTCCCCTTCTACACCATTCATCACACTTCTTCTGCTTTCTTCTGAYTGCACCAARGCATACACCTCCTGGACTGATGGCAAGTCTTTACTACCCAAGATCTGCACC